GGCTTGCCTCGATGACAGCGACCAACACCTTGCCTTGGCCTGGAGCACACCCCCCCTCACCTGTTCCACCATCCTGCTGCAGCTGACATCTGCCATGTTCCACGTGCACCCCCTGGTGGTCAGCACACATCACAGCGACCAGTTGTTCAGTTGTTCCACTGTTTGGTCTATTTGCATATTAGCCTTTTATTATATAGGATTCCCCCACTCCCTTTAGCTCTAAGTCTTACATTATTTAAATCATGTGTGAGCAGCAGCTACTGTTCCTTCTGATCCTTTCAGGTGACTCTTTCCTCATACACATGTAGCAATCAGCACTCAGTTGAACATTTAAAGGGAGCCTGCTGGAGATCTCCAAGTTCTCTCTTGTCCAGACAAGTTCTCTCTTGTTTCTCTTCTGTTAGGTCATCTATCCTGTGAATCCTAGATGCTTTGGTCTTCTTGGATGCTCAAGTCTACAAATCATGGAGTTCGCTTTGCTTTGCCTCAGTTCCCCATTCCAAGGCACAGCCTGGTGACCCTCTCAGGCAGTAAATGGGACAATTATGGCACTCGTCTTATTTCCTCTGTCTCAGAGAGCACTGTTCTTCAATGCCTGAGGTCCAAACTATTCAGCACAATATATGAACTACACACACACACATACACACACACACACACACACACACACAATCTAGTGTCCTTTTTTCTTTTTGTTTCAGTCAGAAGGGTACACCTTCTGCATGTTACTTCTACCTGGTTAGAAACAAAAATCCCCTATTGCTTATCTGATGGAATCTTAGGGCCTCCCAGTTCCATGCACAGTATGCAGTGTGCCCCCTCCTCTAGCTCTTAGAACAGGAACATGTACCTTGTCCACTGCTCCACAGAGAGAGAGGACGTAGAAACACTTATCAGGGACTCTTAATCAGCAGTCATTAGGCAACGATGTGTTTGCATGAATAATAAGTTCAAACTGTATTGTTCATTTGATAATCTGATTTTAGGGGATGGGGGTGGGGAGTTTTTTTTTGTGTGTGTGGTATAAAATCTAATTTCTCCCAGGTTGTAATGCACAAAAAGTAAAGTTGAAAAGGTACATAGGGTTGAAAGAAGTTTGAGCTTGGAAATAAAGGGGTTAAAGGACAAAAATATGATTTAATTCTACAGTTTCACTTCGGTGTGTACTCTGCATTCATCTACTTCACTGCTAAGTAACTAAATGTCACTCTTGCAACATTCAGCCTGTCACCCATAGAAAGCAGTCATGGCCATGGCTCCTGTAGAAATAGCCGGTCTCAGATTTTCTCCTCGTTTCCTGACATAACGTGATGTTATTAACATCTACCTCCACTCCAGCTGGGTGGCTCAGTCGGTTGGAACGTCATCTTATACACCAAAAGGTCTCGGGTTCAATTCCCAGGCAGGGCACATACCTAGGTTGCAGGTTCATTACTGGGTCAGGGTGCATACAGGAGACAACTGTCTAATGTTTCTCTTCTCTCACTCTCCCTCTCTCCCTCCCCCCACCTCCCTCTCTAAAATGAATTTAGAAAACATATCCTCCGGTGAGGATTTTAAAAATTAAATTAAAATTTTAAATTTTTAAAGCATGTTTTTTTTAAAAAAAAAAAATCTACCAAGTGCTAGGGAAACATTGAAATGTAGGGAGAAAGTATCTCAGAATCCAAAGATTTCCACAGAAGAGTTTAAGAGCAACTCTTTCCTCACACACATGCAGCAACCAACTCCCTGCTGAACATGTGTGGGAGCATGAACTCCGCCTGGCCCTCACCCTGCTATCCAGTGGCCCTATCCAGGCATGCTGTCCTCGCTGCCCAGCACCACCAGGGCAGAAATGACCCTCCACCCGCCATGCTACAGACAGACCTGCTGTGCACAAGCTCTCCCAAGATCCACATCAGCCAAGAAGACAGGAAGAGCCAGTCATTCTTTGTAAGTGTCAGTGCTTAGGGGACACTGACAGACCTTTATCTCTTTCTTTCCCATTTCCAAACACATAACCTGAGGTCCCAAAGGGCCAAACCACTAACTTCCAGTGAAAACTGAACTGTCTGAGATCAGAGTGTCAGCAGAAGCCACCCACAGCCTGAACTGGAAGGTGTACCCCCTGGAACCCTGGCTTCTTTCCGTCATCCTGGGAGCTCTCTGATGACCTGCAGCTCTCAGCTACACTGAGCAAGGCCCTTCCATCTGATCACTGAGTCTGGGCTGTGTTTGAAAAATAACAGTTTAATAAAATGAAGTCAGTTTAACTCTTCACGACTAGCTTTTCTCAAAATGATATAAAATGAAAAGAAAATACTAGAGCACAGCTCAGCGGTGAGGTAAGCACTGACTGCTACAGGAGATTTCTCTCTTTGATGGCGTGTATGTATTATACATTTGAATACACAGAGTAGTAATGAAAAGGGTAACTTTTACTTTGGGTCAAGGTCTAGAGTTGATCAGTGTCATTGATCCCACAACTATTAAGATTTGTGTTTAACTCCTGGTGGGAGTGGGAATGGGTATAACTTTTGTTGACAATACAAACATTGTCTAAATACCTGATCTCAAGGAAACAGTCACAGCTAGGAAAAAATAGGTATGAATCAACTGACTGAATAAATTTGGCACATCTGTGTGATAAATGGCACCAGCCATTACATCTGCACTGCAAAGGAGTAACCATACCAACTCTTAGGTGAGAAGGGGAGCTATGGAATTTTAAACACAAACACACACACTGCAGAGAAAGAATGCGATGTAAGTGGTGCAATAAACCCAGGAAGGGTGTTTGTGGATATATTTACTTTCCTCTTTGTGTTTGTCTTTTCGAAAACCTCTACAATGGATATGCATTACTTTTGAAATTGGTAAAAACAGGACAATAAATGTGATGTTTACCAATATGCTTTACTGAGGAGCTGCTGCCCACAGTGCGTGCCCACGTTAGCAATGGCGGCAAACACTGAAGTCGGCGGTCGGGAGAAGCAGGGTTTCAGGGATTGTGTTTGGAGCACAGGTGAAAACCAGGTTCTGGATATACTGATATCCTGACAAGCTACACGATGGTTTCCATCCCAGCCCATGCCTATCCTGGGGTCCCTAGATGGGTCACATTCTCGCACGCTTCATTCTGTGTGCAGAGGTCCCCTCCCCGCAGGTCCTCCCACATACACCTGGAGGCTCCTGCTCACCTTACTAAAGTGACATTGCTTGGGGACCCCTCCCCAGCCCTCAGAGTCTGTCCAGCCCAGCTGCCCAGGGCCTGCCACATCTGCCGGTCTCTGCACCACATGAGACAGTGGTGTTTTTCTCTCAAAACACTCAGAGTGGGCACATCGCAGAGATGTCGGTGGCCCCATGCTGGGTACACATGGAAGCATTTTATGCTCATGGTCTCATATGACTTAGCTCTCACAGTGTCTACAGAGGAAGTCTTATCCTTATTGAATCCATTGGAAAACCCAGGTGTACAGAGGAAGTGACTTATCCAAGGTCACAATGGTGGTTGCAGCTCCAAGGACAGTAAATGTGCTGAAATACACATTTACTGTCCATTTACAAGGACAGTAAATGTCTCAAAGATGCATATGCCAGGCAAAGAGGTGACTTTCCATGTGGTCTCAGCAGCCCTCAAACTCCAGTCCACATGCCCTCACCCCTGGAGACCTGTCTGAAGATGACTAGTGTCTGGAAATCCAAACTGACAACAATGGGGAGATGCTCATGCTTGCCTCTCAGCAAATCTCTGCCTCCACCAACAGCCTGGCAGCACGTGTTGATGGACACGAGGGTGGGAAGGGGAAGGGAGGAACAGTGTCAGGTCTGTCTGCAACATGGCAGGTGGAGGGGTCATTTCTGCCCTGGTGGTGCTGGGCAGTGAGGACAGCATGCCTGGATAGGGCCACTGGATAGCAAGATGAGGGCCAGCTGTTTAAGGCAGGCCCACCAGGGCTCAGCATTGGAGGGGGAACAGCCTCTCAGAATGGAGCACAGGACTGGGTCTGAGGTTGGAGGGCATACAGGACAGGAGGAGGGCAGAGGCCTCTGTGCAGGGAGGGTCTAATGCCGGGGCAAGGAGACCACTGGGTGCACCAGCCCATGAAGGTGTGAAAGGAATTGAGCCACTGGAGGGAGACTAGAAGACTCAAAGACAACAGTGGCTTTGATCAGACCCTCGGGTTGAGAGACCTGCCACTGGCCTCAGTATCTGAGTCTGCCCAGCACTCCCAGCAGTGCCCCCATTTTCTCCTGTGCTGCTTCCCTGACTGAGGGTCCTCTAGGTCATACCTCCCAGCTGCCGGCCTAACCCTTCTTGCTGTGCCGGGAACCCCTGTTCTGTTCCCACGTGCTACCAAGTCTGTTGAGGGGCAGCCTCCCTGAAGTGTAGGTGGAAACGGGCCCTGGCAGTGCTCTGACCGTCAGGACTAGGGATGGTCATAGGGAGTCACTGTGCCTGGCCTCCTCATGGGGCCTCAGACCATCCCCATGCCTGCTGTCACTTTCTTCTCCATTCTCTTCTCCTCCATGTAGACACCACACATTATCCCAGAGGAGAAAAGCAAGCATGTCCATCACCACCACCACCACCACCATCATCATCACCACCACCACCATTATCACCACCATTACCATTATCACCACCATCACCATCACCATCATCACCACCCCACTATCACCACCACCACCACCATCACCACCACTGCCACCATCACCACCACCATCATCACCATCACCACCACCACTACCACCATTATTATCACTACCATTACCATTATCACCACTATCACCATCACCATCATCACCACAATCACCATCACCACCACCATCATCATCACCACCACCGTTACCACATCATCACCATCATTATCACCACAATCACCATCACCACCAATCACTACCACCACTGCCACCATCACCACCACCATCACCACCAATGCCACCATCACCATCACCACCATCACCACCACCACCACTGCCACCAGCATCATCATCACCACCACCATTACCACCACCACCATCATCACCACCATAATCACCACAATCACCACCACCATCACCACCACCACCACCAACACTGCCACCATCGCCACCACCATCACCACCACTGCCACCATCACCACCACCGTCACCACTACCACCATCACCATCATCATAACCACCATCATCATAACCACCATCACCATCACCACCACCATCATAACCACCATCACCATCACACCACCATCACCACCACCACCACCACCACCACCACCATCATCACCACCATCACCACCACCACCACTACCACGGACACGAGCACACACATGACTGACCACAGCCCCCATTCACATGTACTCCTTTACTAAGCCTCCTTCAGAGAAATGACCATGCTGGTTCTCACATGAGAGAGCACAGGAGGTGATCATTCTCACGATCATCATTCTCACGGGGGAAACCCTTGGTCCCTGCCTGTGTGAAGGCCCAGCCCGCTCACCTCGCCCTCCCTGGGTCTGGCTCTGATGCAGAGGCAGGGAGTCCCCTCTCCAGACACTCATCCCCCCCTTTCCCTTACTACAACTGCCCTTGACCTCCTCTTGACCCCTTCTCATTGAGGCTAAAACTCTTCATCCATCACCTCAGGTTCAGAATTGCTGTTTGAGGCAAATAATCAGCCAAGTGCAGGATTCACCTCAGGCCAAAGGTCCCACTCTCCACTGGGAAGCAACGTCTGAGGGCCAGGAAGCAGTGCCGCCCGGGGTTGCAGACACAGGGTTGTCTCTGGGACTGAACCACAGCTGCCACCACAGCTGATTGCGATAGTCCTGCCATATGACCAAGTCACAGGTCGACAGCCCACCCCTGCCTGTCCTGCCTTCAGCGACCATCCTGGGGCCTCTTCTCACCATCTCTGGGCCCCACCAAGTGCAGAGATTCCCTTGCCTCCCACTTGTCTCTGCTCTCAGGGTGGTGGGAACAGGGCACAGGTCCCTGCTCCTCTCCGTCCCCCCAAATCCCCAAAGAATCATTCAGTATTTCTCACCCCTGGTGCCCCTCACCACATAGCCCAGCCTGAGGCCGAGAACTGGGGACACACTACACAGTCTAAATGCAAGGCACATCCCTGCCTCCTCCCCAGGCTAGAAACTCCTGGGTCAGCGCCTGCTCTCTCTCACGGGCCTAAAACACTGAGCAGAGCTCTGCTCACCTGACCTCACTGGCTCCTGCCCATCCTGTCACCAAGTTCAAAGGCATTTACACAGGTCACAGCACTGCCCAGCAGCGGAGTAGCCAGCAAAATCTGGGCTCCCCTCCCTCTGGACCCACAGGCGTGCTGAGGGCAAGAGCGATGCAGTGGGGGGATCACTGGGGCCTGTGGAGCAGAGAGGGTGGGGGGTTAGGAGCCCGGCCTGATGCTGACCAGTTACTGTAAACCCCCAGACAAGGCAGCGCAAGCTGCACGCAGCAGGTCCAGGCCTGACTCAGCAGCGCTGTCTGTCCAGGCCTGGCCAGCCGGGCTGCAGACACAACAAACAGAAACAGGGGCGGAGACAGGCGATAGTCACAGCCCCACCCTGAGATTTAACAAGCAAGCGGGTGCTGGGCACCAGGAGGTGCCAGCATAGTGTCATTAAGCTGCTTCCTCATCCGCTGAGGGACAGGGAGCAGGGTCAGGGAACTGGAGAGACGCGGGAAAGCCAGAGGCATCCAGAAACACCTGCTTCTCCTGGGCTTGTTTGGGGACATGGATACCTCTCCCCCGACTGCTACACTTCTTCCCAGGACCCCTCCCACCAGGGGGCACAGAGGAAAAGCAGGAAGGTGAAGGAGGGCAGAGCTGTGATAGGGACTCAGGGACCAGGGGGCACAGGGAGCCGGAAGCCAAGGAAATCTGAAAGGTCTGGCCCTTAGCCTGCAGGGGTGAGAGCTCGGTCCTGTCAGCTCTGTCACCTGCATAGCCATGCTCAGGGCTCGGGGTTATTAATTAATTCATTTCCATTAATCACTTCTCGTTTCTACCTTTGAAACCTAAAGCTAGAACATGATCTCTCACTATGTCTCTGATGTTGGCATTTGGGGAGGCTTCCATAACATCAAGAAAAACTTTAATTTTTAGTGAGTGGCAATATACTTCTTAAAAATCAAGATATAATGTTTGCCCTGGAAGTTTGGATCCTTGGATAGAGTGGTGGCCCTCAGACTACACGGCCAAGGGCATGTACCTTGACTGCAGGCTGAATCTCCAGCCATGGCTGGGGTGCATGCAGGAGGCAACCAATCGATATGTCTCTCTCACATCGATGTTTCTCTCTGTCTCTCCCTCTCCTCCACTCTCTCTAAAAGTCAATGGAAAAATATCCTCAGGTGAGTATTAACAAAAACAAAAATAAACAAATAAATTAATAAAAAGGGATATAAGTTTTAAATCCAGCTAAACAATAAAAATGGAGATGAAGAAAAAGGAAACATGATGCGCAGGACATGTTATGTTCCACACAAGGACACGTGTGTATACACATGTAGGATATATGCCACTCTGTTATGTGGCCTAGTCACCCTTTGTGTCATGGGCTTGTAAACAGTGTGAAAAGACTGCAGGGAGCCTCGATGAACGTAATTCCACCTAGGGGACAGCACCTCTCGCTCAGGGATTGGACGTCGCATAAGGAAGGAACAGAGAGCCTGAAGCTGGATCCATGAATGTCATCCATGTTCAAGCAAAGAGAAAAAAGATAGAAGAAAAGCCATCACTTCCGTGACCAGTAGACAATACGAAGCAATTTTATTTTTTCAGAATTTTATTTTTTTAATTGTTTATGGCTGCCTTTTTTTTGTTGTTTGAAGGATTACAAATAGTAGTACATATATCTCCTTTTTCCCCCCTTGACCTCCCCTCAGCCTCCCAAAACGAGAAAGAAAAAAAAGAAGAAGAAGAAGAAAAAATAATGGCTAAATTTATTTCCAAATTTGATTTAAAACCTCAACCCACACATCCCAGAGGCTCAACAAACAACAAACACACAAACCACGAAACCACACCTAGGCCAGTATAATTTAGCTCTGAGAAACCAAAGAGAATCTTAAGAGCATCTGGAATGGGAATATAAGGAAACAGCCAGAGAAATGATGGCTGTTCTCTCCTGAGAATCTAGGAATCAAGAAGGTGACTGAGGGGCATCTTTAAAGTGCTCAAAGAAAAAATAACACTACCAACACAGAATTCTGTATCTATTGGCAATGTTTTTAGAGAAAAGAGAGAAATAAAGATTATCTCAAAAAAAAACAAAACACAAAAACTGGAAAAAATCTACTGTTAGTGGACCTATTCTACAAAAAACCATTAAAAGTTCAAGCAGAACAAATATAGTATCAGTTAGAAACTTAGATATGCACAAAGAAATTAAGTGTTGGAAATTAAATAAAGATAAAATGATATTTGATTGTCATCATTATTTTTAATTGATTTAAAATATAACTGTAAAAAAAAGAGTAGCAATGTGTTTATAGCATATTTAGAAGTAAATTATATGAAAACAGTAATAGAAAAAAGGATGGAAGGGAGGAATTGGAAATACAATGTTTGTGGTCCTTACACCACATGGGGAGCAGTATAATGTTATTTGAAGGTAATTTCTGATTCACTAAGATTTATACTGTAAATCCCAGATCAACAGTTAAAATATTTTGAAAAGAAGCATGAGTAACAAATCAATTAAAAAGATAAAATGGAATAATTGAAAATGTTCAATTAATCCAAGAGCAAACAGGAAAAAAGAAACAAAAGTGGTGGAAATAAAAATCAGCTAACAATATGGATTTAATCCTAAAATATCAAATATCACTTTAAATGCCATTGGTCTAACCATACCAGTTAAATGTTAGAGATTTTCAAGTTAGATAAAAAGCCATGACCCAACTGTATATTGTTTTACAAGAACCCCCCTTAAAAATATAGGTAAGTTAAAATTAAAAATATGAAGGATGATGCACCATGAAAACACTAAACAAAAGAAACCTGGAGGACCTATATTAATACCACATAATGGGCTTCAGGGCAAGGAACAGTTTCTGGGATTTAAAGCAAAATTACATAACAGAAGAATCAATTCTCCATAAGTCATAGCAATCCTGCACATGAATGTATAAAAAAACAAAACAAAACAAAAAAAAAAAACCAGACTCAAAATACTGAGGCAGGACCTGAAATAGACAACTTAGAATGCCAACCCTCTTCTCTCGGTTATTAAAGGAGCAGATAGGCAGAAAATCAGCAAGGAGTATAATCAATCAACTTAACCTACCAGACATTTATAAGACTATCTTCCCACCTGTAACAGATCACACTTTCTTCTCAACGTGTGCCTGTGTGTGTGCCTGTGCGTGTGCATGTGTGTGTGCATTCCTTTGGCCACACATTTAAAAGAAGAGAATTCATATAAAGAATGTTCTTGGGCCATGACTTCTAAATAACCAAAGCAGTCACAGCAGATGTCTCAAGGGAAACTTTAAACTATTTTGAATTGAATGAAAGTGAAAATGAAAATACAACATATGAAAACCCACCGCGGGAGGCAGTTAAAGCAATGCTTCAAGAGACATTTTAATGTGCCGTGATTAGATTAGGCTGAAGAAAAGAAAAACTATACCCTAACAGTGTCATCTAGTTGGTAACGTTTTCCCCACAGTGGTATGGATTTGCAATTCTGAAACTAGTTTACATGCGTACTCTGATCAAACAAGAAGACCTATTGTAGCTGGTGAGTATTTTTATAACTGGCAATTTGTAAAAATAGTCCCTGGGCTACAATGGGTTTTCTCATCTGACTACACTGTGCCTGTAAATTAAAGTACAGCAGAAGGAATATAGTCAATACTATAATAACTATGTATGGTGTCAGGTAGGACTAGACTTACCAGGGGGTCACTTCATAAGGTATATAAATGTCTAATCACTATGTCCACCACACCTGAAACTAAACAATATCTGTATTTCAACTCTAAATGAAAAAGTTTTTAAAAAACACATGGAACACAACGCATAAGAAAATGTAGTGGAAATACTGAGAGTCAGCTTTCTCAGTTAGAGACAGACGTTACAAATGAGGAAAAGGAAGCATGCTAGAATAAATCCTGTGGTGCGGGCCTGGGGTCAGAGGGCTCAGTGTGAACTCATTTGTAAAATGTTGCTATATATACTGATGGACGTACATTTCCCAGCCTCATCCTCTGAGCAGGACTGGGACAGGAAAAAGGAGAAATGCATGACCCCGGAGCATCTTCTGGGGCCATGAAAAAAAAAAAAGTAAGCACAGTGGTGCCTCACACAACGAACTTAATTCGTTCCAGGAGCAAGTTTGTTATGCGAAAAGTTCGTTATGTGAAACCCGTTTTCCCATAACAATACATGTTAAAAAAAATAATTCGTTCTGTAGCATAAAATATGCTAAGATGACATAAAAAAAGATAAATTTTTTGTTATTATTTTTATTTAGATACATCTAAAAACATATTTTTTTAAAAAAAAAACCACACATTTTTTTAATTTTAAGACAGACTAAGTAGAGTCTACCGAATCTTGCACATCTTCATCCATTTTCTGCTTTTTGGCCGATGGTTTCATGAAAAACCTGTCCAAAGTCGTTTGTTTTTCTCTTTTCTCCAACATCTGCCGGAAATAACGGACAAGAGTATTGGAGTAAAGATCGTTGATCCTGTTTGCTTCAGCTGAATCCGGATAGTGGGCATTGGTAAACTCCTGAACTGCTTTCCATTTGACCAGGATGTTCTTGATGTCAGCAGTTGGGATTGGTTGATTGTTTGATTGTTGCTCCTCGTTATCAGATGACGCTTCCCTTTGAGCATTGTCCTGTTTCATTTCAACGGAAATCACCTTCCTGCTTTTTTTAGAAGCCATGATATAAAAAAAATATTGAGTTTAACTTAAAAGGACGACTGCCGTGATACGTGCGTGATTTAATTCGTAATGAAGAACGATTGCCGCGATACGTGCTTAAGTTAAGCGCAGTGACTAATGACTGCCTGCAGTGCCTGCGCGGAAGGATGCAATACATCGGCAGCGATCGTGGAAGCTCGGGCGAAGCGGTCGTGGAAGCTCGGGCAAAGCGGTCGTGGAAGCTCGGGCGACTTCGTTGTGTGAAACGAAGTTCGTTGTATGAATCATGAAATGAAGTTCGTTGTGTGCAGCGTTCGCTGTGCGAGGCGTTCTTTATGCGAGGCACCACTGCATTTCTAAAGGATATAGCAATAAGCTCAGTGGAAAAATAATTGTGACCACTCGTTGATGTCTGCTATAAGCAAGGAATGAAAAGAGGCGGTGTGCACACACACACACACACACACACACACACTCGAAACACACACACACACACACACACACACACACGCATACACGTCAGGTGTTTGACAACTTTGCCCTGAGCAATGCTGTAAGGTGTTCCCCTCCACATCTGTGTGACTTACTTAGTAGGCCAGCTTATGTCCTGTCTATGTGACCATGTTTTGCCAGAATACTAATGAACACATGGTATGCTAACTTAACAGAATTGCCTTACTTGATACTTTATTAGAATACCCAGGCTGTCTGGTCACTATACTATTTGTGAGAAATGGGAACCAGCCTTGAGTTTCTCATAAGAAATGGGTGCTTTGTGTGAACAAAAGAGGCCACATGCTACCCTGACAAGCTCAGAGGAGGCCTGCATGGCGCTTACAAACTCAGAGACCTAAAGAAACCACAGAGGATGATCTGAAATTAATACTTTAACTAAAAGCAGTTATGGTAGGTAGTTACGTTGTAGGCTGATATCTTCACTGACAAGGTCAACCTTTACCTTAACTGAGCCTGTCTTTTTGTATCTATAATAACATACACTTGAAGTGTCTGGGTAACTTGTAACTTCCCTTTTTCCAGACCTCTTGGAACACAACCGAATGTGCTGGGTGCCAGGACAGATACCACAAGTTCCTTCATTATTATCATCATGTTAATTGTTCCTGCACTCACCTAAGTGTGTGTCTATCATTTTACTTTTTATCCAATCCCAGAGGTTTCCTCACTTTGCTTTCTCCCGCCTCTCTAGTCTATTACCAATGGATTTCATGTAACCCATCTACGTCCCTTCCTTTGATTATAATGTATAACTATAGATATAGCTCACCATTCTTCGGAGCATTATCCCAATCCACAGACATTCTGTTTCCTGGCAATTATTGACAGATAGGCTCAAATAAAGTCACAAAAATTCTTTTTTTTTTTTAAATATATTTTATTGACTTTTTACAGAGAGGTAGAGAGAGATACAGAAAGCTAGAAACGTCAATGAGAGAGAAACATCGACCAGCTGCCTCTTGCACAACCCCTAGTGGGGATGTGCCCGCAACTCAGGTACACGCCCTTGACCGGAATCGAACCTGGGACCTTTCAGTCCGCAGACCGACGCTCTACCACTGAGCCAAACCGGTTTCAGCATAAACTCACAAAAATTCTTTACAGGTTTGGATACTTTTATGTTAACATTCAACTAGGGTGTAAGAACAATAAAGAACAGCATATCAATTAAAAAGTGTTACCAAACCTGCATGCACTGGCTAGGTGTTTTTTGACATATCATTAATAAAAGAATTTTGGTAGAAAATAATGTTAAAAATATTAAGCTAAAGACAAAGCGTGCTTGTCCACAACCAAGGGAGTTTATACACCGTTTGAGACCTAAACAGGTTTGGCAGAAGTTGGACATAAGGATCAAGAGATAAAGACAATATGGGAGTCAACATAAAAGAACTCCCAAGGCCAAAGCTGGAACAATCATAGCAACTAAATAAATAAGATAAAGAGGAGAGGGAGAACTTCAGTCAAAATTCAACATCTCTGATAAAATGTTCAGCCAACTAGGATCAGAAGGAAACTTCCTCACCGTAACAAGAGGCGCCCACCAGATCCTGCAGTGAGTCTCACACTAGAGAGGGAAATACTGATTGTTTTTCCTCGAAGTCAGGAAAAGAGGCCCGTCCACTCTCACCACTGCAAGTCAGTATTGTAGTGGAGGTGGTCAGCCAGCCCAGCCGAGAAGGGAGCCGAACCACCTGAATCTGATACCTCCCAGATTCTACGGAGACTTTATCATGTAGGTTTGATCCATCATCCACTCCCTCATCCACTCCATTTCCAGCTCCTCTCTGCAGGATGGGGGTGGGGCTGAAAATACCAAGTTTCTAATCACAGCTGGGTCTTTTTTTGTGTCCAGCCTCCATCCAGAAGCCCACCCTGAGTCACCTCGCCAGAATAAAAGAGGCTCTTATCGCCCAGAATATCCCAAGAGTTTCAGGAGTTCTGAGTCAGAACTGGAATAGGCAGCCCCCAGAGTCTGATCTTCAGCAGGCAGCGATGGCCTCCAGCGGCCCAGGTCTGAGCAGGGATGATGAGGGCCTGGGTGAACCGATAGTGCTGTTGCTGCTGTTTATTGCAGCCGGGCTCCCCTGCTCCGGACATATTCATACACTTTGATCTATTTTTGAAAACGGCACTGTAAATTAGAACCTTTACCAGAGGAGAGAAATTGTAAATGGGTCTGGCTCTGTTTCTCTTAGAAACTCTGGAGAAAAGCTGGTCCAAGTCTCCTCAAATTCTCGGTGATCCCGTCATCTGGGCACAGATGGCCAGATGTGAGCACCACTTGTAAGGCTGGGGCCCGGTTAACCACAGACCCTTTCACGCTCACAGTGAGAAAGTGAAGCCCCTGCCTCTCCTCAGCCCTACGAGTGCCAGAGCCTCAATTCACCTGAGAAAGCAAACCCTGAGGCATCTCACCGGCTGGCCAGCGCCAAGGTCATGGCCAGGAGAGGCATCAGCCCAAGGATCTGCGTTTGGTGCTCAATGACCTTGACCTCTTCCTTCTCTTTGGGCCCAAACTGCCTCCAGCTAGAGAGAATCAAATAAACTCAGGTTTACTCAAGTCCAATAGGCAGCTTGGTTCCCAGGGCCGAAAGGACCAAGCAGCCTTTCAGATGGAAGGCGTTACAACACTTCAGAAAACAGAATACAAGCCTCTGACAACGTGGGTAAGACAATCAGGAATAAAAAGTTCCCGAAGACAGTGAAACCAAGCTTGCTGGCCCTTCTGGAAATTACCCTTCCCCTGTGGAATATTTTTAAAACGGCATGTCTATTTAGTACACAGAGTAATTTACTCCTTAACATTTACATGGCATTTCAGAGTTTCGAGTGTCCCACGATCATTAATTATTCGGCTTTACTGTTAGTGACATAATTAATAGGATGGAAGCAGCCTCCTGGAACATATTTCAAAAGGACATTCTCTATAGGGAGGCGATGCTCATGCTGGCGCTCCTGTCAGACTCGCAGGCGGTCATGCCGTTCAGCCCACTCAGGGCCGCTCAGCTCCGCAGAGAAGGTGCTCTCCTCATCTCGCCTGGAATCCTGTGCGGCATTTTGCTTTGAGGCAGTTGTGTCTGTGGATGGAAAGGGCCACATGCTGACCTGACCAGCTCAGGGGAGGCCTGCATACCAGTCTTGCAGAGTCAGAGACCCAAAGTAACCACAAAGAATGGTCTGAAATTAAACTTTAACTAAAAGCAGTTTTCGTGGGTAGTCACCTCCTAGGCTGGTGTCTTCCCTGACAAGGTCAACCTTTACCTTAACTGAGCCTATGAGTCTTTTTGCATCTACGTATAATAACATGCCCTTTGAAATGTCTAGGTAACTTGTAACTTCCCTTTTTCTGAACCCCTTGGGGCACAACTCAATGTGCTGGTGCCGGGACAGATACCACAAGTTCCTTCATTGTTATCATCAGGTTACTTGTTCCTACAACCACCTAAGTGTCCATCATTTTACTTTTTATCCAATTCCAGGGGTTTCCCCCCTTTGCTTTCTCCCACCTCTCTAGTCTATCACCAGTGGATTTCATGTAACCCACCTATGTTCCTTCCTTTGATTGCAATGTATAAATATAGATATAACCCGTCATTCTCCAGAGCATTATCTCAATCCATTGAGATTCTGCTTCCCGGCAATTGTCGACAGATTAGCTCAAATAAACTCACAAAAAGTCTTTACAGGTTTGAATGGTTTTTTATGTTAACACATCCATGTGGACTGAGTCTTTCCTGTGATAAGTTTATACTGTGGTGTGGGACTGTCCCCCCTGGCAACACCATGAACCATTCTTGCAGCATCTTTTAGCCCATGGTAGGCAGACCAGGCCCTACAGTCCTGGCTGGGGCAGCATCCTGTCTTTGTGCACCTCTGATCTTTATGTTGATTTCTGAAAGAACATTTCACACACACATACATATATGCTCACACACACATACACAGGCATATACACACAGAAACACAGTCTACGTTAGCAAACAGGGCACACTTGTGCTTCAGAGCCCAGTGAAATGAGGATACCCATCCATCCTCAAGGAGAGACGGGAAGTAGCAATTTGTCTTAAATTTTATACTTGATACTTTATTTGTAATTTTTAGAGTATCATAATCTTTTTAGTGGATAAGGTGTCTAGAGTCCACTCCTAATTCTATAGCATGGGTGAAAGATGGTAAGGACCCAGGTGACAGTGAGCATTGTCAGGTGGATTTTCTACGAGTTCCCAGGCAGTCTGCACCCACAGCTGCCTGTCCCAGGAACACTGCCAGCCCTGTCCTCTGTCCACCCCATCCGACACAGCAGGGTGTGGCACCAAATGAGGCCTTAAAAACTCACCACCTCAACAATGTTGACATCACAGTGCCGGATCATTTTACAAATTCCACTTGTTCTCACTCTCTTGACTTTCATTTTTAAATGCTGTGATTATAGTGTAACCTGTTCTATTGCTGTTTGCCTAAAATACTATCTACTAAAACAAAATGAGACACAGCCATACCCAATCCACTCCTCAGGGAGATATCTGCACGCCTGCCCATGCCTGCACCACACTAGGTGCTGGACACCCACCAGGACCAGGAAGGCCAGGCCCAGCCACTGAGCTCACAGCCTGGCCCACAGAACCAGGCCAGTTAGCATGAGCAGGAAGGCCCTGTGCCAATCACCATATTTCCCATTTGCTACGAGAAGACCCTTTCAGGAGCCTTCACCAGTGATAGCAAAAGAAGAGACTGACCACAGACCTTCTCATTTCAGTTTGTTGAAAAGTAATTATTATAATAATAACAGCACAATTTTCCAGAGCTGCCATCAAATTTTCTGGTTCGAGTGTGCAGGCTCAGCCTGGGCGCAGCACACACAGACATTCAATGTCTATAGAACAAACAAGTTTAACCCACTGGGACATGCAGATAAAGCTCAACAAAGAGGCTTGCTCATACCTCAGGGTTATTTTTGATGCTAGATCTGAGCCCATCCCTAGTGTGCCTCAGTTTCCCAATTGAGCTTTCATCCATTTCCTCTTTGACCTTCAGTTCAACAGAGCATAAAGAGGCGACCAAAAGCCCGAGTGGCAGGCCTCCGGTGCCTTCCATCATGGCGATAAGAAGGAGAATTTAGTTAAGTTTCCACCAAGATACAAGATGATTTCACAAAATTAAGGGGATTTCACAGCAAGATCTGGATTCCCTGCCTGCCCAAAAACTGGCAGGAGCTAGCAACTCTGGACCCCATTCCTGTGCTGTTATCTGCTGGAGCTCAGAGGTCTCTGACCTCTCGGCTGGGGCCTGGCTGCCCTCAGCAGTTCCCAGACCCCTGTCACTCACTGGCATTACCTGCAGGCCTGGGAGACTGATTTTCAGCCCCTGCCACCGTAGATCTCCTTTTTCATTAGGAATAAATCCACACCAGCACCCTCACTTGATCAAGTTCTGTGACCGTGAATCTGTGAGTTCATTGGGAGAACTCTGAGAGGAGACAGCTGCTGCTCTGCCCGGCTCTTACAGAGTGACGCCCAGGTGCTCAGCGGGGCATCCAGGCGCTGGCGTTGGCTGTGAGTGTCCCAACCATCTGTTGACCTCAAGAAGGAATATACCTGCCAAGAAGGGCTCCTCATAGTTAACTGGGCTCAAAATCATAGCAGAGACTAGGAGCCATTGTTTGTACAGGGGCCTCTCACACAAACTACATTTCCTGGAAAAGCTGCACACTGGGCTGCCAAGCCTCCTGTACTATGTGCCTGCAGGCTGAGCTGTCTCTTTAAAGGAGCTCCTTTAATCAATGGGCTGAGACCTTCCCTGTCCAATCAAAACTGCATTTGCAGCCGAAACCGGTTTGGCTCAGTGGTAGAGCGTCGGTCTGCGGACTGAAAGGTCCCGGGTTCGATTCTGGTCAAGGGCATGTATGTTGGCTGCAGGCACATCCCCGGGTCAAGGATGTGCAGGAGGCGGCTGGTCAATGTTTCTCTCTCATTGACGTTTCTGGCTCTCTATCTCCCTCCCTTCCCCTCTGTAAAAAATCAATAAAATATATTTTTTTTTTAAAAAAAGAAAGAAAAAAAGAAGTGTTTATAAAAAAAAAATAGCAAAACTGCATTTGCATCTTTACTGACCAATGAGAGCAGCTCTGTAACACCAATCTGAATGTGTTATTCCAGTGGTCTGCAAACCATGGCTCGTGAGCCACAGGAGGCTCTTTGGCCCCTTGAGTGTGGCTCTTCCACAAAATACCGTATTTTTCGGACCATAAGATGCTCCGGACCATAAGACGCACCAGTTTTTAGAGAAGGGAAATGAAGAAAAAAAGATTCTGAAACAAATAGTGTCCTAAAATATTTTATATGCATTAAAACCCAACATCACAGTCATAAACACATGTAATCAACCCTGTAAAGTAAACAGCAGCATTTAGAACCATTTTAGAGCCGGGCAAGCACACAGAGACCACACAGAGCCGGGCAAGTAAAAAAACTTTTCTTTTAAAGTATATGTGTAGGCTATATTTGGACCATAAGACGCAGGGACTTTTTCCCCCCACTTCTGGGGGGAAAAAAGTGTGTCTTATGGTCCGAAAAATACGGTACCACTTACAGGCATGCACATACAGTGCAATTGAAACTTCATGGCCCATGCGCAGAAGTCGGTTTTTGGCCTGGGCAAATCTATTTTGAAGAAGTGGTGTTAAAACACTTAAGGGGCCAAAGAGCTGCATGTGGCTCATGAGCTGCAGTTTACTGACCACTGTGTCATTCCAACCAATCAGGCTGTGCAAACTTGGGTTCTTCATTAGCATAAAAATGGACCAATCAGGAATCAGGATGAGAAGTTTCTCTATAAAAAGGGACCTTCCTTTAGTCTGGGGAGCACACATTCAGTTTCCACCTGAGACTGTGTTTCCCAGGCTGCAAACCACTCATCTTTACAAAGTTTCTCCTTTCACCACCCCAGATTGCGGACTCCTGTTGGCCTTGGATTGGTGGGAGGGGCCTCTAGTGGACCACTTTCTTGCTAAGACCCTCAGACACCTTCCCAGGGGGCCTCTGTGCAGGCAGAGCTCTCCGTTTGCAGCCGACCCCACCCCTAACTGCCACACATCACTGCTGGTGGCTGAGCCAAGACCCTCTCCCTCCTCAGCACACTCTTCAAAATCCAACCCAGCCTGAGCAGCAAGCTGCCTCCCCTCAGAAAGCCCAAGCGTCTCATGCTCCTCCCACACGGGAGCACTTTTCCCTTCGCACTGGCGTGTGCACCTGTATTAACCACAGGTTTCGATGCGTTGACATCTGGGCCCTTGCTGACACCGAAGGGACTGCCCCTCCCAGGGCCAGCCGTTTCCTAGAGAGCAAGTGACTCCTCTGCGAGCACATTTCCAAGGCAAACCAGTCACCGTGAGCCACGCCCCAGTCAACCACCACCTTTGTCCACTCTCCCACTCAGGGCCACGCATCTCCCCAGGGCTGGCTACCAGCCCACCAGGGACAGCCCCCATGCACCAGAACCTTCAAACTGATCCAACCAGCCAGTCCCAA